TCTGCATGGTTTGGTACTGACTTTGTGATCTCGAGATCTACAGTTATGTGTACCGCAGCTGTCTGTGTTGGAACTACGCTCTGCCTACGAATCTCAGCCTACAGCAATGGCTACTCCCATAAAGAAGCATGGAGAAGCTGCAGGTGTTGGTGGCAGGCCGTGCTACGTGGGCAATGGTTCGCCAGCCTACGGCAGAGCCTACAACGCAAGACGGGTACAAAACGTTGTACCTGGTGGTCGCTACGGAGGAGCACTCTACGGGAGACCTCCTGACCTGCATCAATGGTGGCCTGCTGAGGCTTGGGCCTACAAGGAGTTCCTTTACACGTCGGGTCGTCTGCCTACCGCTACGCCGGCGGCCTACTACCTCTACCAGTACACGGTGAGGCACTCCAACGTGCTCTTCTTCTTTGAGCACTTCTGGCATAACTACACCTCTGAGACCGTCTACAGGGGGCGATCTACAACCTGGAGCCCATGGAGGTTGAGGCCCTACGGATCATGAAGTACGTGTTTGACGATGTCTACACCATCTCTAACTACTTCAGTTGGCCTAACTTCGTCTAGGACTACTGGGTCGTCTACGACACTGAGGTGTTGTTGCTAACCTACGCTACTTGCTGGAGACGTCGGAGCAGGACTTCCACTCCACCGTCTACAAGAGGACAGCGGCGATGTGCTACAAGGCGGTCACGTCTTTGGCATCGTACTACGGACATTACATCTACTTAAGCCCAGGCCTTCGCAAAAAAATGCCGCAAATACGCAAAGGAAAGTTACTCTTTGGTTCCTTACCGGTCCGCTCATCCATGTTTAAGGTTTCCAAGATTCGATGCGGGGCAATAGAATATCAGTGCCCTTGAAGTTCCGTTAAAGGGAAGCACAACATGGTCCCAACAACAATACCTCCCCTTCTTGCTCAGCCTTCTGTGTTTGTTTTTTAACATGGCCATTGAAGGCTGGCACAAGTGGTTGTGTCCTTTAAGAATCGGACCCCTCAAATGGATTTCGGTGTTCCTTTCTGTTTCCCTTGAAAACCCACAACAAATGGGGGCGCCAACTCCGAAAAAGAGACGAGCCACCCATGAAACTTGCAGCGGACATATCGGAACGCGCGGATTCCAGTTGATCACAAACCTCGGGAGATCTGCTCTAAAACCAAGCAATCCGGGAATCTATTGGTGTTCCATGTTTACGGAACGTATCAACAGTGGCTGAACAAGAACCATCCAACAAATGAAGAAAATGCCGGCATTCTTGTGGGGTTTCAATCCCGATCTACAACATCCCTGTGACTGCCTCGTCGGTGAACTACCACCACCTACGAGGAAACCCTCAGCTGGCATCTACCCTGGCCAAGGAGGCCGTGAAGCCAACTACGGACTGAGAAGGGGACTGCTTGCAGGTGTTCCTACCCGGCAAGCACCCCTACACCGGGGATAGCCACTACTGAGTTGTCCATGTGCTGAGTGTTGTTGTACGTTTTTTTATTTCCCCGTTTGAGTGTTTAATCTGCTTTCCATAGATTGCCAACTTGTTCAATAGGAGCCTTATAAGTTTTCTGCACCAATCCCTACAACTGCAGGATAGCTGGTAGCTGGTAATGGCTACCCTTGCTCTACTTTTGAGTAGTCATGCAATCTTCGTGGGGGTTGACCAAAAGGTCCTTTACATTGGATGACCATTAGGGAAAACCACCAAAACGGATTACGTTCCCAGAAGTTACCCATGGTCATTTGGGAAACAGGAATGGTGGCGGATACCGACCAAGGAGGATTGTGATGTGGATCTAACATGTTTGAAGGGGTGATCACACTCCCAAATTAATTCAAGATGTCAAACGACTATCGCGCATTGACAAGGGAACTCCCTCTAAACAAATAGATTTACCAACATAAAGCCTGCTTGTCAACCAAACGTTCGGCAAAGCCCGTTAAGCTTCATGCAAACATGCTATATCACTCATTTATTTCAAGGGGGACCTCTTGAGCATGCTACATCAACCAACTATTTCAATTGGGACCTCAGTGCACAGCAAACAAACAATGTGGGAAAAATGATCCAAATCATCCAGGGTTCCCCATTTCCCCCTTAAACATCACCCCAACTACAGAAAACTCGCTTCAAATTGGCAACCAAGACGTGATGTTCAATGCAACACCACAAAGGAGGGGAAAAGGGACCCTCAGGGCTTCACTGGTTACCCTAAAAAGGACTTAAGCCCAGGCCTTCGCAAAAAAATGCCGCAAATACGCAAAGGAAAGTTACTCTTTGGTTCCTTACCGGTCCGCTCATCCATGTTTAAGGTTTCCAAGATTCGATGCGGGGCAATAGAATATCAGTGCCCTTGAAGTTCCGTTAAAGGGAAGCACAACATGGTCCCAACAACAATACCTCCCCTTCTTGCTCAGCCTTCTGTGTTTGTTTTTTAACATGGCCATTGAAGGCTGGCACAAGTGGTTGTGTCCTTTAAGAATCGGACCCCTCAAATGGATTTCGGTGTTCCTTTCTGTTTCCCTTGAAAACCCACAACAAATGGGGGCGCCAACTCCGAAAAAGAGACGAGCCACCCATGAAACTTGCAGCGGACATATCGGAACGCGCGGATTCCAGTTGATCACAAACCTCGGGAGATCTGCTCTAAAACCAAGCAATCCGGGAATCTATTGGTGTTCCATGTTTACGGAACGTATCAACAGTGGCTGAACAAGAACCATCCAACAAATGAAGAAAATGCCGGCATTCTTGTGGGGTTTCAATCCCGATCTTGTGGACCCATCCGAGCAGGGGCCCCGCGCCCCCTTGTCAAGGCGTTTTCGCGTGAATCTCCTCGCGTCATGTCGGGGAGTTCGACGGGACCTTCCTCTTATGGCGTCCCTCACCAACCTCGGGTGTTCGATTCCGGAACAAAAATTGTTTGCCTCCTTTTGGACAAGGCCATGCCTATCCATACGGGCCATGGTCACCCAACGTGCCAGGTTGACCTGCAGGGTTTCAGCCTCCGCCCAAACAGCGGGCGGAGGCTCCCTCTGCCGAACGGTGAAAGGTGTGAGGGGAACTCCGGCTTCGCTTCCAACGAGTCTAAGCTGGAAAGCCACAAAGCTGAGCAAAAGCACAGCGAGCTTTGGAGCACAGGAGGTGAGCAATCTCTCCTGGGCACCCCGCGCACCATCTCTGCTTCGCCGCGCTGCGCCAATGGCAGGCAGCCGGCTCCCGCACAGGCCGGCTGCGCCCTACACTTGCGCCCTTTCGGATTTCCCACGCAGCGATGGCTCGGACATGCCATGACTCAAATCTCTATGGAAGCTGAAGAGTTGGCCAGGAAAGGTGTGAAAATATCTACAGAGTCTGAGGGGCTGGGGAATGTGCATCTGAAAATCAGGGAGTTGGCCCGTGGGCCCCTTGCACAGCTGGCCACGTGTCAAGCATTAAGTTCACCCCCCAAAGGTTCACTCCGACACTCAGTAGGCGTAGTATGAACCTCATTGATACATACATATAGAAATACAAACACGCAAACATACCGAATCTTCAATTAGTTAAGTAAGCATGCGTGTCCTTCCACAAACTGAACAAACATACATAGCAACGCATTCAAAACAACGACCCCCTTAACACATGCGGACCTTTAAAGGGAACCTCCCTCCTAAAACAGCTCAAAAAGGCGCGCCGCGGCACGCAGCCCCAACTCTGAGTTGTCTGGCAACGCCCGCACAGCCCCTATATCCTCTATATTTGCTTGGCCTGGGCGCTGATGTCGGTTTTCGGAGCGTGGCTAACCCTAGCTCTGCCATCCCAGTGCGTGGCCGATTGAAGATGAGTTCAGCTGTCACAAAGATTGCAACAGCTGCCCACGTCGATCAATCCACTGCAGTCTTTCAGGCAAAAGATATTAGCCCCAGCACGCGCACACACGGAAAGCATGTCTGACATAATACACAAAACAACCTGCCAACAAAGCATGCCATAACCAAAAAACCTAGTAGTGCGCACATAACAGACCTTAGTGGCGCGCACTGTAGCATGATAGCAAGCAAGAACATTGCCGCCAAATAGCCAATAATGGCATTCCGTGACATACCATGCACAACATTGTAGACCATCAAGAAACACCCACAGCTTTGCGTGGACTTCCGAAGGTTGCAGCATGTGTGTGTGTGTGGTGTGTGTGCACGCGCAAGAGGTTCCACATGCCCGACAAAACACTTTACATAGCTGGCTGCCATCGCTGGGACGGGTGTCGCTCTTCATGGCCCCCCTGTCGCTCACTACAGTGGCAGCTCACGTTTTGCAGAATCAGCTCGAACATCGCAACTTTAGTGTACAAGTCCAGTATTCGAAGTACACTGGCGCAGCTCCAGCTCGAACATCGCCACTTTGCGGCACAGGTGGAATACGCGAAGTACACTTCCGCAGCTCCAGCTTGAAAGTCGCAACTTTGTGGCACAAGTGTAGTACGCGAAGTGCCAACTGCCTACTTGAAGGGGACATGGGTGTCGCTCCATAATCTGAAAGGTTATCCCTCCGGGTGTCGCTCCGGCACGAATTCAGGGGCTCCCACATGCAACTCATCATCCAGAATTCGGCTAGCCCTAAACAAGGGTGTCGCTTTTCAGGTCCCCCTGTCGCTTTCTACATGTTTTTGAACATTTTGGTCATGGCGGCCAAAGTAAAGAACTCTTCATGGCCGTGTTTTGACCCTTCCTGACCTGAGTCGCCCCAAGGCTTCAAAGATTTGGCTTCGCTGAAAGTACAACAAACACAGCATGGCATAGCAAGGAATAGCAAGGAAAATACACGCTCAACAACAGCCAATTGATGGAGTTTCCAGCCTGCCTTTTCTTCAAGAACGAAAAGAAACAATGCAGCCATGAAAACTCGCTGGAGCGCGAAGCCATGATTCTGGTCTCTTGAAGATATGCCTGGCTCGTGTGATGATTTATGCCCCGCACTGATGCCTCCCTCCACTTTTTGCCCTCTCCGACTCCGACTCCGCTAATCTATGCAACGGGCATGTCAATGGACTGGGCTGATGGAGGATTCGTCAAGTACCAAGGCTGAACCGAACGCAAGGTTTGCTGAGCCGATTGAAAAACAAACTCCGGCGCAAACACAAGCGCGAGGCAACATGGCACGAAGTGTTGCTTAAGATCCTGCACTACGCACACATGCAGGGATACTGAAAAATAGTGCAGTTTGATGTTACTCTCAGTCAATCCGGTAGAATTTCTCGTGCAACCACTGCTTCCGGAGTGACGTTTTGGCAGCCGACGCCGGCAACGCCGTTGAAACAATCGACTCCTCAGCTTGCACAACTGAAGCTGTTGGCCAGGGAGCGCTTGCAGCGCCTGCAAGCCACATGCCGGTGCTAGATGCATTCCGCTGATCCGGAGGCGGATGTTCCCTTTATCGGATCATCCAAATGCCTCACATATGCCGGCAGAGCATGTGCAGCGCGCCGTCCAAAGGCGTCGCCAAATGGCCGGAGCTTCCTCACATGGGAGCAGCTGGTTGGCTGTATCGTAGCAACATGTGCACTGGATGCCCAGTGAGCTCACAAGCGGCGTGTCCCCTTCTGCAACCGCTCCGCGCCAAGGCACGGCTCTCGCGTGGTTTCTCATGGGGCGTTTCAAACCAATGGCGCAGCCCAGCCGAGACTCAGAGAGGCACAAGTCGTCGGCCAAGGCCCGGCGCCGGAAGCTGCCGGGCCCCAAACATGACCGCCGGCAGCTCATTGGCGCCAGGTGTGGCCCGGTACGAGCAGCTGCACCTCGGTGAGAGGGGAAGGAATTGACAAAATGGACGACTTCCATTGAACACGCGGCCCTCAGGAAGAGGTTGGTTCGGTCATGTCCCCCTGATGTAATTGTGATTCATTTACTTGGGTCAAGCGTGGAGATCAACTTGGCGCAAAGCGCTCATGGCGCAAAAACCCCAAGTAGAGTCCCTTCAGCAACCTGTTCCAATGTGAATCCCGGGAAGCGTGCCATACCGCTTCCCAAAGGACCCACAATTCAAAGGCTGACCTTTCGATGGGGCGCGGTCGCGTGCACGACACATTGTGAATACATGACACTCACCTCTTGCCGCATTTGCTGCGCCAACTGCGAGATGAAGCGCTGCAGCAGGGCTGGTCACCCAAGCCCTCACACTCTCGGCCAAGAGGGACATGAACAGCGGGCAAGCTCATCCGCCCCAGAGCTGCCAACACCCTCAGCTTTGTTCTGCTTGGTGGGGTCGCCGATGCTTTCGCGGCGTGGGCTTCAGCTGTCGCGAGCCTAAATTGGACCGCACACACGAACGCGCAAACTTTTGCGGCGCGAGGAGAAGCGGGTTGTGGGAACTACCCACCTCTTTGTTGGACACTTTAGTGCTTCGGACTCGGATTGTGTCCGGATTGTGAGGTACAGCTAGATGGTTGGCGGGGCAGGCTCGTCGCATGGGGTCGCGCTACGATGACCTGCTAAAATCACCCTAGGAACGTGCTGTCTTCAGAAGGCTTCGGGCAGGGCCCGGGGTCTGGATTTCCGTCACCGAACTTCGACCAAGTGTTTGGCGAGTTAGGCAAAAACTGCGCGTGATTTCAGGATTTGATTCGGAACCTCGACTAACGATTCTGCGGAACCATTTCCCTTCGAAAATCACTTTTGCGGACCCCTCCCAAGAACCCTCTTCTTCTTGACAAGGTCCGCGGCCTAGCTGTCCAGGCAGCCCACCCCTCCCATTTCTGTCTCGACCTGCTGATTGGGGTTCTCAAAGCAATGTCTTCCTTCGCCTTTCGCGAGTCATTGCGGTCTTAGGCCCTTTCAATTTCTTCACGGGTTGTTTTGGCCACTCACTTGCCCTGTGGCATTTGCAGCCTAAGCACTTGCATGCAGACTCGAGGAGCCTACAGGGGGCCACGAGACGAGGATTGTTTCTGTGCAAGGACAGCAAGCCTTGGCCATTCCTGATGAGGCTTGTTAAACCTTAGTGTCGCTCGGCAGCCCATTTGCCTCTCAGTGTTGCAAAAGCCTCTCCCAAAGCCTCTGCGTGTTCCCACATGGACCACACCTTCGACACAAACCGGTCTACCACACACCCAGCCACACCGTGGCTACAGCCACTCCTGCGACTTGCGGACAACTTGCCAGCGACCGCTTGGCCGTGTTTCAGCCGGAGACCCCATTCCGGCAATAGCGAGCCTTCTAGATAAGCAAGATTCCCTTCAAGGCTTGGCGTCAGGCCAAACTGAGGTGTGGGGGAAGAGCCCAAATCTTCCGCGACTCAGGCTGCGCATGCTCCAATCGAGGTTAGTGCCATGGACCATTGGCGCGATTCACGCACACGAAAGTTCCTGGGAGAATCTGCCCAACGACCTTCTGAGAGCGGCTTTTCGGAAGCGGAACAAAAACGATCGACTCAAAGCCAGCCGAACCTTGCCAAGTTGCACCACCTCTGGACGCCCCGCCAAGCCAAGCTCGCAGAGCCACTTAGCACGTGCCTTGGCCGAAGCTTCCCTGCGCAAGTACAAACCCTGCTTCGCAGCACCGCGCAGAAGTGCTTTGCAGAACTACTTCGCATCCCTTGCGGAAGCAAACAAGTTGGAAGCATCTGTTCGCTGGGAACAGCAAGTCAGTCGCAAGGCGGGACCCCGTGCACACCCGAGGTGATCGAGCCTCACGCCTTGCCTGGGAACCTGCGCACATGGGTCGCATGGGTTCCGGGCTGGCGCCTTAGCCCCAAGGAACTTTCCGCATGCCAAGTGGGCCAAAGCGGCCCTTGCCTTGCGGAGTACGGATCACTCGTGTGGAAAGCGTGCGCCAGCCCCAGAAGCCAAACGACCCCGGTCTTGGCGAGTGAACTGTTACAAGCCGTGGGCATTGGCTCCGTATGGCTCAAACCGGTTCGCTTGCCAAGTGCTTTTCACCGACCATCAAATTTTAAGCCATATTTAGCGCCCTTTAATTTTAACCTAAAACTATGAGACCAGGCCCTAGGGTCTATCCAGGGGTTCAAACATTGGACTCTTGACCTTCAGGGCTCACTGGTGCCTATGCGGTATCTTGTTGTGGCCAAACTGTGAGGCCCATCAAAGGAAGTACGCTGCAAAAAGCAAACGACTCTTCTGCCACTTGTCAACTGGCAGGCACTTTTGCAATGGCTTGCGTAAGTCTGCAGCTAGACGCACAACTCCGGCAGGGGTTAGTGGCTTGGAGGTTTTTTGCTCAACCAAACCAACTCGCGAATTCCTGGCGCTAGCTGTTCACGCAGAGTCAACACTGCCTTTGGCAAAAAGCGATGCCCTCATCAGAGCCTTGGAGGAGCCCTCTTCACGTGCATGACAAAACAGTGCCAACTGCGAAGAGACGTCAGCTCCACAAGTTGACTACGTCTGGCAGCCAGGGCTGAAGACCAGCACTGCACTGCTTCCGGACGGCAAAGAACTGACGAAATAAGGCCGTGTCTCTGGCTCAGCCTTTGCACAGTCATTTCACTCCGCACGCATTTGCTCGCAATGAAGTCTGCAACGCTCTCTCCCTCTCACCGGGGAAGCCACATGCCGGCACCGGGGGCAAAGCGAGTGGCCTCAGGCCACACAAGGACTTCCGACGGCTTCGGCTGGGAAAGCGAAGCCGGGCTCCGCTCCAGGACCAGCGAACCGAGCTTCGGGCTCAACCTGGCGTGCGCAATCCTCCGGAAGAACACGCGGGCCGACTTGCGCAGAAGTTGCCTGTGGGAAGTTGCCAACCTCGGCTTCCGGACGAAGGGCTTGTCACACTTGCGGGAACGCGCCTTGCGCCGAGGTCGAGGAAATCGTGCCCTGGTAAGTTGGGGCTGTCTGAGATCCAGATGCAGTCAGATCATGTCAGTCAGCAGGTCAGGCTACGTCTCTGGTAAGGTGAAGCAAAAAACGTGGGCTGGTCACAACCCTTAGAGAGTTGGAGATCACGTCGCGGGTCAGAAAGCTCGTGCCTTTGTTGTTTAACTCAAGAGACGGGTAAGGCTCCTCCTGAAATTTGCAAGGCTTTGCAAGCTCGACTCTGTCCCACTATCAGGTCCACGAATTCCTGCGCCAAAACTGACAGGTTTCCGCTGGCCAGCCGGAATATGCGAGAAAATGTGCCACAGGTAGTCCTGCTGCTTAAGCACCGCACAGCTTTTGCAAAACTGGAGCCAAATTCATAGGGCTCCTGCACATGCAGCTGCTTTTATGCCGCGTCATTGTCAATAGGCAACACTGCCCACTTGCGCAGTAACTTGGGCTCACACAGTTTCCTTGAAACAAAACAGCGCCATGACATCGTATGCTACTTTCTCGGCTCTGGCAGCGGACACTAATCGGGCTGTGGCAACACTGCATCAAGTAAAGAAAAAGAGTCAGCGAAACACCAGAGTTAAGTGAGTGCAATTGTATAGTGCTCGCGCAAAGCATCTCGAACGCTTGCATTTAGCAGCCCTATTCAAGCTTGCGCAAACTTCCGACCCCAGGCCACTCTAAGTCACATCGGGGCACCAGCTGTGGGGCTCGCCCGCCGCACTTCTTTCGGCTGCCAGCGGCCTTTTGGAACGGGCGTGAGCCTGACAGAAAACGCGGCTTTGGAACGGGGAAAGCGAAAGGGCGAAGTCAACTCGTCACAGGCTATCGGAAGGCCACGCGTGAAAGCCTCGCGCATCGCGACGCGTCTCCTTGAGGCCTTGACGCACTCGCGGAAGTTGGTGACAAACGCACATGTTCCGTTGAATCTGGGACGCGCTTAAGAGAAAGGCTGGGTCAAAACCGTGGCATGGATCTCACACACAAATAGCGCTCATTGCACTTACGGCCAATTCAAGAGGCCACGAGGTCAGCTGTCACCATCAGAGTTGATCTTCAGTTGCACTCCTGATTCCAGACACGCCGGCTGACTGCTCAATGCTTCTCAAGGCAGCCAAGGTTGATCCCGCGGGCGAAATGAGAACGCCTATGTGCTAGCTGCAAGGCTCAGCGGACAGCTCATTCTGCAAAAAGACCTATCATTCCAGGAAGCGCTGCAAGGCCCATGTAACACATTTTCTTTCTGCCTCCCCGTCCTCAATGACTCAAGGAGCCAGGATGCTTCCGCGACACCAGGCAAATGTCACCACCAAGAATGGACCTTCACCGAAGGGTACTGGTAAGGACAGTCCAAGCTCTCAGTTGAGCAGATTCAACACCCCCACAACGTCCATTGGTCAAGGTCCGGTTGAATCAGGCCATGCCTTGTAAGCCCGAGGGGCAAATGAATGACTGCCAAGCGCAATCACAACTACATGGCCTTGCTGCGAATGTCCTCCCTCAGCTTCCTTGCCCAGCTCTCATCTGTTTTAGACCCCGCGAGAGCCTCCGCGACCTTCATCCGGCGTCGCCTTCCAGCGCCAACGCCAAAGCCGATTGTTTGGGTTGGAAAGTGGAGGTGCTTCGGAACCTCGCAAGACACGTTCTCCTGGAGGCCATAGGCCACACCGCTTTGCACGGAATGTCAAAGTGTGAGTGAGACGCGGCCACGCGAACCTCTCCCTTTGTAAGAACGTCATGAAGGGAAAGCCCAGTGGCGTGGATTTCAGATAGCTTGCAGTGGTGGCTCAGACGCGAGCCATGAGCTCGCCCATCAAGTCATATCTGTCAAATCGGCTCATCTCTCATGATCAAACTCAATACTGCTAGCTCACCAACAAAATGTGTGCCTCCCTCTATGAAGCCGAAACACTTGGCGGCCACGTAAGACACATCAAGGAAGATCTCCCGACAAAAAGGACGCGCAGCGGGTTGCAGTATCGGGCTATTCGGCCAACGCGATCTGACACTTTCCGCTATGCCAACAACACCAGGCCTAATCAGACAAAAACCGGCCCCACTAAATCTGGCGGCTTTTCATCTGCGCTTCATCTTATTTTGAGAAATCACCCACATTATGACCTTTGACCAATGGATGATTACGGAATACCGGTCAAGGAGACTCCAGGTGACTCTCTGCCTGTGCACTGACCGGTTTCACTTGCAACCAAAGGACCTCGAAATAATTTCAGGGCTCCAAGCCAAACCGGCCAGACCTGCCTAAAATAAACCCTGACTAAACATGTAGACCCCAAGCGGGAAAACATGAAAGGTCAAAGGGTCACAAAAATAAGTCATCGATGCGCAGAGGGATCAGCACGACACCCAAGGGCAGCCGCAAGATAGGTCTGGCCTCATTTCTTGCACGCGACAGCCGCCATGAGTGTGAAACACTGTGATGCCTCACCGCACCCTCACGGGCCTGGCTGCACGTACAGCTTCCACACTAGTCCACGGCAAAAAATAGTTGCCAGTGAGTCTCTGCACCCCTCAGTCCCCAACAGCATTCTGTAGCTTTCGATAATGAGGGGGGCTAAATCCAAGCGCAGCATCCAGTCGGCAATCCCCAACAGAAAAAAGGCGATTCAGCAACTGGAAGTGAGCTCCTCATTCCAAAAAAGTGTGTGTCTAATGGCCTCCGGGGTCCCCCGCTCCCAAAAAAAGATCCCGACCGACCAAGCAAAGGAACCGTTAACTTGGCACCCAAAAGGTGATGGTCAAACTGCTCAGGGAAAAACAGGGGCCTAAATCTGGGGGACGCAGAATGTGATATGTTCAGACTCTGTCATTAAAACAATTTCGGGCAACAGACCGTAGGTGAACAGATCGTAAGGCCCCGCACAGAAAACCGACAGAAACCGACAGAAACCGATAGAAACCTACAAAACCGACAAAGACTGACAGAAGTTGAAAAAAACAACAAATCAATTTCAACCAGCTACGGCGCCCAATAATGTACTAGCAGTAATACCTTTGAATATTAATCATTGACAGCCAAAAGACAGTGACCGACAAACAAGAACAAGGAACAAACTAACAAGAAACAACACAAACACAACAGGAGCAACAACGCAACAACCAACAACACAATAACAATAACAGTAGCGGACAACCAAACTTACACACACGGACAAAATAGACTTTCAAAGACATGGAGAAAGCGATCGTTGAGAACCGCGAGGGACAGAGAACTTTAACGACGTGGAAGAAGCGACCAGCAAGAACTGTCAAGAGCGCAAGATGACGTCCCGTGGGACGCTGTCCACCAAGCTTCCAGCTGAATGTACTCAACCACGTAGAAAGGATATACGGCCAAACCGATACAGCCAAACCAGTGCAAACTGTTGTAAGGGTGCTGTCCAATAACCACACACGCGTTCGAGATCAGCAGCGCGATCGCACCTGTTTCCTCTCACTCGGATCGATCACAGGTAAACGCAAGTTCATGCAAGACCTTAAGCCCTACTTGTGTCTTGAGCCAAAGGTGGCATCCATTGGATGACTTCAACCAAAGAGAACATGGACCTCAGAACGGCTTCCCAATTTAGGCACGGGGCCAGGAGGGTTTTAACATCCCCCATTTGGGTCGCACTGTTCATCATGCGGTCCAAACATCACAACAAGTCCCAATGGCCACGGCTCGGATTACGAAACTGTGTCGAAACATTCTTTCATTTACGATTGCATCGCCATCTATTCATTGTGAAACTTAGCCGGGTGCGATTAAATCAAAACTCGTGCGTCCGCAGATCACAGCACACTCCTATACACAGAGGCATGAGGCATTATACCTCGTACCACAACGCAGTCATTGAAGATCCCAGCTGCCGTATTTGCGCATCACGCAGATGTCATCCACCGAAATGAGTTGGCCAAAGAACTTCATAACAGCGCATGGCCACAAGCCATCTGTATATCACCGGCAAAGAAATTGGCGAGCAATATAGGCAAAAATAGCCATCCCAGATACCTCGAAATATATAAGGAAATGAAATCATCCATAAGGTAATAGTGTCCATCCATGAATATCCGGAATGCCATAGTCGTCGAAATATGTAAATACGTACATAAGCATGGTCCTTGGACAAACGAAGTCACCTCATATCGTAATTCACTCCATCGTAGTGAAATCAACATGTTGCTGGCAATGGATGGGGTCTGGCCCGCACCATGCCGTAAAAGCAACGATGACCCACTTCTGCATCACACAAGTCGGTCCACAATGGCCAGCCTAGTGATACGTCGACGGAATTCTTCGTCCAAGTTGTGTTGGGCGTCTCGTGCTCGGGCATACTTCTTACAGCGCTCGTCCGCAAGCCAGTGTCCCCTCCGGATGCACCAATCAAGCAGAGGTCCGTAGCATTTGCCCGGGTCTGTGGCCGCAATAATAGCGCTCACGTTGACCTCATACCCCACGCTTACCAAGGTTTAGCCCGGTCCTTGCGAAAGATATGCACTTGCAGTTGAATGCCAGAGAGAAGCACCTGTAAACAACGTCTCCCGCTGGATGCTTGCGTTCGCTGACCAATAGCTTTATTTCTTCCTTGGCGATGTCGAGGATCTTTGCCGCACTCCACAATTTGTAGAAGATGCACAGCCCGTTGCATTTGAGCGCCGAATAGCGTATGTGTTGGTGCGCTCCTCGACTGTTCTGAAAGTCCTTTATCGAACGCTCTGAGAACGAGATATCACGTCCTCAGCAGATGGTAAAACAATACCATCACGATCAAGCTCAGTGACCCTCTGAGTGCGGCGTCAATCGTTCGCTTTTCGCCAGCCTCAGTCTTACCATTCGCCCGCGCTTCGGCGGCTACTTTCTTCCACTCTCTAACCCCTAACTCATCCCAACATCCCAACTTTCGGAGCTTTGTCCATTCCTTGAGGAGAGCTGCACGCGCTTTGTCATTGCCAGCTTGCTCCTTCTTTGTCACGGGCCTTGCGACACAAGCGTAAAAAGTTGGTATTCCCTGAAGGTTGGGTTGATGCCCCGAAGCTTTGTTCGATCTGGGCATCGGTGGAACAGGATCTCCATTCAATCCTATGGCAGGGCCAGCAGGATACCCGCCTGTACTGCCGAAGCC